AGCACACCTTGCGTAATGTGCGTACAGTGAGGTGCGCTGAAAATGAATCAGGAGGTGGCCCCCTGACTCCTGTCGTCTGTCGCACGGGTTTTACGAGGATCCGATCAGAGGCCAGATGGGAGGGTAGTTTTCAGGGCATGAACGGGATGCAGGTCCCCGCAAGCGGTGAGGCGGCTGCAGGCGGGTTTGATGGGTCGACGGGGTTCCGCAGTCCCCACGTCGGAACGTGCTGTGTGACAAGCTCGGTCGTACTTCTGGGTGCAAAGGTGAAGAATTCGTGGGAATTACAGGGCACCCCCCGTGGTTTTATTCGTGACAACAGCATCCTGTGACCGGGAGAGATTCAGAGACCTCTGGGTGGGTGCACACCTCTCCCCGCAGTCACGATGGCGGGGTTCTTTACAAAAATGTGACCCTCAGTGACCTTCCCCCAGTTCTTGTGAAGATCTAATTTCCCAATTAACTTTGAATTTGCTTTATTTTTATAGACTCTTGGTAGGCAGAAGCCGCGCTGCTTTCCGAGGGCCATAGGAAAGTATGGTTCAGAATTCCCTCTCGGACCTGCCTGACTCAGCATATTCACCCGTCAGGGTAAATGGCTTAATTGGAGGGTATTTCAGTGCAGGGGGCAGCGCGCGGCCAGTGTGCCCAACGCAACCGTGGACGTTCAGCCGGGCAGCGAGGGGACGGCGGTTCCCTCCCGACACAGAAAGTGGGTTTTGAGCCTCACAGTCCTGTCTGTGGTGCCTCCGTCAGGTTGGGGGAACAGCAGTTTGTAGTTGCTTGTGTCCACACTTCCCTGCAGAAACACCAGAGCACAGCCACAGAACATGCCTGCACGTGGCCAATGACGTGGCCCTCGGGGTGCACGGGGGATTCTTGGCCTGCACGTGGCCAACGACGTGGCCCTCGAGGGTGCGTGGGGGGATTTGTGGCCCGCACGTGGCCAATGGCGTGGCCCTCGGGATGCACGGGGGATTCGTGGCCGCACACCAGTGGAGAGGGGCCGTTTCGTTTCTTCTTTCTGTTACTGCTCGTTTTTGCCGCACCTGACTTCGCGCCCTAATCAGCAGCGCAGCAGGAAGACTAAATACTGGGGAGCACATAGGGGCTGGGGAGGAGTCAGGAGCCTTGCCACGCGTGCAGGTGTCGGGGAACACCCCCCCCCCCCC